CTGCTGAAAGGCCTGTCAGTGAGTTAACTACAGTAACTGCTGAAAGGCCTGAGTTAACTGCAGTACCTGCTGAAAGGCCTGAGTTAACTGCAGTAACTGCTGAAAGACCTGAGTTAACTGCAGTAACTGCTGAAAGGCCTGAGTTAACAAGGATCCCCTTTGTTACCATTGTGTACCTATACCCCCGGCTCATGACAACCACAGCCTTTCTCCTGGCCGAGCTGGCAGTGCTGGTGATCTGAACACTGCTCACTTGGGTGCCCCTGCGTTGTATCATTCTGGTTCTGCACGTCCGTCCCTTCGGCCCCTGTACCGCGGGACACGCATGCACACATGCCGCAGGGCCACCCAAGTTAGCAGTGTTCAGATCACCAGCACTGCCCCTGAGTCATACCATTCTGGTTCTGCGCGTCCCTTCGGCCCCCGTACCGCGGGACATGCATGCATGCATGCCCCATGCATGCATGTCCCGCGGTACAGGGGCTGAAGGGACGTGCAGAACCAGAATGATACGACTCAGGGGCACCCAAGTGAGCAGTGTTCAGATCACCAGCACTGCCAGTTCGCCCAAGAGAAAGCCTGCGTTTTTTTGAAGAGTGGGGTTGCCCTATCGGTAGAAAGGTAGTAGCGTGTCATCCGTGCGCCGGGGCCATGCTAATTTAATCTTCATTCTCTGTATCGTTCCAATTTTAACGGATGTCCCGAAGGACGGGTTCAAGCAAGTTGTCTTTATTCGTTTAAAAATAGAACACCTGATGTCAATCGAACGCAACCACAAACTTCACATGCGGTTGTGGATAAGTGGATACCTGGCTTCTCTCCCCATGTACCCCTCTGTGCAGTGCAGCTGTAGTTCAACAGAGAGTCTCAGAGTTACTGCAGAAGTAACTCAGCAGAGTCTGAGGGAGTTACTGAAGCAGTAATTCAGAAGAGGGACTTCAAGTTACTGCGGCAGTCATTCAGCAGATGGAGTTACTGCGGCAGTAAGTCAGCAGACGGAGTTATTGGAGCCGTAAAATTTAGCAGAGGGAGTTGCTGCAGCAGCACTGCGGCAGGAATTCAGCCAGAGGGATTTACTGCGGCAGTAATTCAGCAGATGGAGTTACTGCAGCTGTAATTCAGCAGAGGGGGATTTGCTGCAGCAGTAATTCAGCAGATGGATTTACGGCAGCTGTAATTCAGCAGAGGGAGTTGCTGCAGCAGTAACTCAGCAGTGACTCACATATTGGAAGCTATGAAGTGGATAAGTGGAAAAGTGGAAATTTAAAGTGAATAAATCCGAAGGGGCTAGCTCCATCCGACGGGTGCACCCGGGAAGTTTTGCAATACAGACCGAAGTTCCAGTCCAGATGCAACGACTCAGAGATGCCACAGTACTGCTGCAGTTACTGTAACCCCATCTGCTGAATTACCGCTGCAGTAACTCCATCAAGTGGTTCTGATCATGCAGCGCCTCCCCATAACAGTTGCCCCCATTACAGGGGGAGGTGGAGCACAGATGCCTGCCGACAAACGATTGGCTGATAGACAGAGTGACAGGACATATTTGGAACGGAGAGGGGTTGGCCCCTCCCCCTTTGTGCTCTGTATGGCATCTTTCCCCGCCTGCCGAAGAACGGAGACAAATTGAACCCATATGCTTACACTGTCCAGGGTCAGTCTGGCTTTGGAGGCGGTGGGACCGGCTATGGCGGCAAATGGGCACGACTGTGCCCTGGGGCTGGGGACTGGAAGGTGCCACTCTGCGAAGCCTGGTACCCGGAACAAGGTACCATCTTTGAGTGCAATATGTTTTTTAAGGTTGGCCGCAGAGCAGCTCCTCGGGCACTATGGTTGAGACGCTGCACATTCGAGATCATCATGGAGGGCTCAGCGTGAATCTGGAGGGGCCGGACTTTGCAGTGTGGAATCAATTAAACAGCAAGTACAGGCAGACATCACCACCCAATGGGAAGCAGTAAAATGAAAGCTAGCATATTATTCAGCACATTGAGCAATTCAGCAAACTTAAGACTGGCTGGGGGTTGGTATGGGGGGTGGGATTGCAAAAGTGGAATGGAAAGGAGGAAGGGGTGGGATTACAAAAGTGGAATGGAAAGGAGGACTTGCTAGTATTTTGTAATAATTCAGGTCAAACTGTACTTGTGTTATTAGGTCTTGACTTTTTTGCTATGATTTTTTTAGTTGTTTATGTAGGAGCTATTGCTGGTTTTTATTGACTTTTATGGTCTTGACTTTTACGTAGGAGTTATTAGGTCTTGGCTTTTTTGCTATGATTTTTTTTTTTTTAATTCCTTATTCAAAGATTCCTTATAGTGCTGTTCTATTTTTATTTGTGGTTATGAAGTTATATGATGCTGAATATTAAGAATTTAAGATCATAGCAGAAGGGGAGAACCTGGGGACCAGTGGAGGGCACTATCGCCTCAGCTTCCATGACTGGACAAAGAAGATAGACCCCTCCAATCGATCCCACGGCGCCCCTTCAAGTTCTGAGAGTTCCCTGAGCTCTTCCCACCGGCCCGGGGTGGTCCCACTGCCCTGGCCATAGTGGATGAACAGCGGTACGGGCCCGGGCCGGATGTCATTGAGCGAGTGTTCAATCAAAAAGTGCGCCGGTTGGGTGTTTTTGCTTGCAGCTGCAAGAAAAAAGGGCGCACTTGTCGAGATCAGTCAGACATGAGATTCCACCTGGCAGTGCTAGGAACTAATAGAGATAGATTAGGAGTGTAGGAGATATTGCTGTTCTATTTTTATTTGTGGTTCCAATATTTATGGTGCACCGTCTCTGCAGGTTGAGGAGGGCAGGTCTTGCTCAGTTTCTCCAATAATTGCCTCTGAGTCAATGTTTTGGACTATGTACTTTTTTTATCAGGGACGCTGGACCTGTTTTTTTTTTTTTTTTTTTTCAGCAGGTGCAGCTCCCCACCAATACACAGGAGCCAACTCCCGGACTGCTAGAGGTGCCAGGCCCTGCTCTTATCAGTCACCACCTGTACCACACCTGGCGGATGTTAACCCCCAAAAGGAAAAAAAAACAAGGGCGCGGTCGGTCAGGTAACCGTAGGCAGAGAGAGGGAGAAGAGGACAACAAACGAGGGGCTGTCTATATATATCTATATCTATATATATATATATATATATATATAGATATATATATATATATATATATATATATATATAGAGAGAGAGAGAGAGAGAGAGAGAGAGAGTCACTGCAGCTATTGCTGCATGTGAGAAGGCACTTCCCCTTCAGCTAGTTTTCCACAACGTGTCCATTGATTTCCAGAAGAAGAAAAAAAATCCATCGACGTGAAACACCATTAGCAGCTGGCTGGGTCTGACATCCGGAAGGCAATCATGTTAAACTTTGAAATTTGAATTTGTTTGACAATTATGTCCACATTGCTTGCAGCGGGAGGGATTGACTTCAGTGAGAGGGTTTGATTCATCGAATCGAAAGCACATCAAAATTGATTGAGGAACAAAAAAAGAATCCAGAGACGGTGCACCATAAATATTGGAACCGACGGCCATACATAATCCCGGCGGGGAAAAAAAAAATAATGCACTCGGCTGAGTAACTTGAGTCTCAGATCACTGAGATAAGCTCATTTCGTAATCACTCAAACGTTATTAAACGTTTGCCTAATAATTCTGCAAATCTCGCAAACTTCCGTTAAATCCACAGTCCTCAAAAACAAATATGTGTCTCTGGTGTGCAGAAAAAAAACACAATAACAAAAACAAACAAAAAAGTTTGTCTGTCTGTCTGTCTGTGTGTCTGTCTGTGTGTCTGTGTGTCTGTGTGTGTGTCTGTCTGTCTGTCTGTCTGTCTGTCTGTCTGTCTGTCTCTCTCTCTCTCTCTCTCTCTCTCCAACACTGTTTGTCTGTGTCTGTCTGTCTGTCTGTCTGTCTGTCTGTCGGTCTGTGTGTCTGTGTGTCTGTGTGTCTGTGTTTCTCTGCCTGTCTGCCAGTCCGTGTCTACGTGTGCCTCTGCCTGTCTGTCTCTCTGTGTGCCTGCCTGCTTGTCTCTGTGTTTGCCTGCCTGTCTGTCTGTCTGTGCATCTGCTTCTCTGTGTGTCTGCTTGTATGTCTGTCTGTGATCGTGCCTGCCTCTCCGTGTCTGTGTGCGCCTGCCTGTATGTCTCTGTGTTTGCCTGCCTGCCTGTATGTCTCTGTGTTTGCCTGCGTGCCTGCATGTCTCTGTGTTTATCTGCCTGCCTGTCTGTCTGTTTGTGTGCCTGTTTGGCTCTGTAAATGGCTGGCTGTCCATCGACGTGTGTCTACCTGTGTGTCTGTCTCTTTGTGTCTGTCTTTGTGTGTTCCCCTCTGCCTGTCTGTCTGTGCCTGACTTTGTCTGTCTGTCTGTCTGTCTGTCTGTCTGCCATATGTGGAAGCAACAACCATGTACCGCATCAGAAGTCGACAGCATCATAGAACCATGTTATCACAACTGCCAAAAAAAACAATAATTTCCAAAAGAAAAACAATTACCAAAAAAAAAGAAACAAGAAAACAGTGGATTCCGCCGCGTAGAATCTTTTCTCCCTGGATGGTCTGCCGCGAAAATCGAAGCATCATCCACGAATTGAAGTCCCCCCCCACCATCCTCCTCTCAGTCCTCTGGCCTCCCAACGAAAAAAAAAAAAAAAAAAAATTCCCATTCGGTTTTTGCGCACATCAAGCAGGCCAATGGGGACCTCCAGCTCTTCCCCATAGCTATCATCCCAATCACCTGCTTTATCAGGATGCCACAAACTCCATCGTAAAGCACAACACTTCAATTCAAATGCCACGTCGTCCAAGATATGCTGGAAGCTCATCAAATTGAAACCCTCCTTGTCCTTTCCCTTGGCATCCTCCACTTTGCCCCCCTCTCTTCCTCTCTTCTTAACAAACACTCCTGGGCCACAAAAGCCCTTCTCCCCCCCCCCCCCCTCCCCCCCCAAAGGGCCTAAATTTCGCTAAACCAAATCAGTGAAATCACCCTTCCATAGCTTGACAAATGTGGGAACATGTCGGAGTCTGTTAAACATATCCTTAATGTCAAATGAATCTCCCAGCCTCCCACCGCCCTCACATTCCTACCGTAACCGCTTCTCACCAATCTCTGGTCTCTAGTTGATCTTAGTCCAGCATCGATTTCATCTGCGAGACTGATTTCAGATTGAAATTACTCGATTCCGACAACGAAAACAACAAACAGTTATTAATCGCCTGTGCCACCCGCTTACGCACAGCTTGATCGATGGCTCATCATCAAATGTAGGACGGATGGGCCGAAACTTTCTGGTGTCCTTATGCTTGCCATGGGTAGTGTGCATAGGCACACCCGACCCGTCCTCGCACATTCCACTTGCCATGGTAATCCAATTTCCCCCTCTCGTATTCCACTTGGGCGAATCGGATCCGCAATTCTTCTTTCTCTTCCCATTTACAAAGTCTGTATACCCGTCATTCTGGAAGAAAGTCTCTTCCATCCCTTCCCGCTCACAAAGTTTGCATTCCTCACGATCCTCTGAACACAGTCCAGATTCAGATCACCAATCCGGAAATGTACGTGCCCATCCCTCCTCGGATAGGGCATTATTCCAGCACAGACACCGCTGGGAGCCCAACGGAACGCGACGCGAGGTGAAGCGTCGGTGTTTGTGGATTAGATCGCCGACGTTCGGGCATCTAGTCCATACACAATACGCGCTGTACACTTCACCACCTCCTTCATTGGCTTGACCGACTCATAAGTGGAACACTCAAGCAAATAGACTACTGAGTCTATTGTCACAGTGAAAGAACAATGAAAAAACTGTGAAAGGCAAGATTGTATACGCAGAGTACTTAAGCCGGTCGGTGGGTAATGGTCACGAAGGAGCCAGAACTCGTTAGAGACCCTGAATTAACCAAAAAAAAAAAAAAAGGGAAACATCAAAATTTTGAGCTTTCACTGGAATCGCTGCCAGTGGAGGAGAAGAGACCACAACATTTGAGAAAAATGTGCACTGTTGCCCTTGATTTTTTTTTTATTTATTTATTTTTTTTCTTGAACAACCCGTGCTGATGCTGGCAGTGCTGATAAGAGCAGACACCACTAGCACTCCACCGTTGCCTTCATTTGCCAAAAAAGGCCATAAATTCGCAAACTTGCGCTTGACCTCGGCACATGTACTTGGACGATTTTCCGGCAGTCGAGGAAGTCGGGGCTCGACAGCCAAAACGAAAATTCGTTGCTTACGGCAGCAACAACGCTTGTCTTGGACAAAAAAGAAAATAATAATATTAATGATAATAACAAGATTAAAAAAAAAAAAAGCGGACGTGGCAAATAAGCAGCAGTCTACTCTTAAAACTACTTTGAAATTCCTCGGAGTACACACACACAGACGGGAGCCCCGACTCCTTTCAGAAGATTTTGTTCGTTCCGATGTAGCAGTGGGGCCACAGCCGCATGATGAGGTCTCGTTATGCTGCTGAGATGACGTTGACGGCACACAGCTATGTCTTCAAAACTGCAACCAGGTTCGTGGAATGTGGAGCCCCACGGATTATTGCGGTTGAAGCCGCTTATTCTTTCTTAACTGAAGATGGAGACACGCCCCAACTCAGGTCTTCGGCCTACTAGAAGACACTAGAAGACACTAGAAGACACTAGAAGACAAGTCCATTTTCCTCCCCTAGGCAGATCTTGGTGCGCAAGCTTTGGAGTTCTAGCTGACAGAGGCTTTTCCAATTCCAAGGAGGGGCAAATTTCAAATTGCAATGGTCTTAGGCCTACTAGAAAAAGCACGGTGATTATAGCCGTCCGGATTTGGGCCAAGTTTCAGTCTCGATACAGGGATAATGACGATCTGTTCCATTCAAGTGAATGGGCCCCAAGGAGGCAGAAGAAAGTTTGGAAAGAAGTGTTATCTGGTATCTTGGCAGACTATCTTGAACACACCCTAGGCTTCACAACCCCCCCTTCCTTCCTTAAACAGGCTGGAAGTTAACCCATTCCAGTCTTAAGCACCCCCCCTCTTCCTTAAGCAGGCTCGTTAAGTACCCCCCTTTTCTTGAAACAGGCTTGAGCTTAACCCCCCTTACAGTAATCTACCGGTCCCCCCTTTCTTCAAAGAAGCATGAACTAGAACCCCACTTTTTTAAGTTCCAGTCCCCCCCCCCCCCCCCCCCCCCCCCCCCCCCNCCTCCCCCCTCTAAACTCAGCTTCCCTTCTAAGGGGGTATGCCACGAGCATTCTCCCAACAGCAGACCGTTTACGTAAAGTACCCTTCCTTCACAATCTTCCCTTCTTCTGCGACTCCAAGAATAGAACCAAGAAAGGAAGGCTTCTTCTTCTTCGTTTGCTCTACCTCAACTAGCTGCTGAGCAAGTGCCGGTTAAAAATGATGTCTGGACACAGGACAAGCAAGGTGGGGCTGGAAGAGACGAACCGGTTCGGTTACCATAGCAGTTACCATAGCAGTTACCATAGCAGTTACCGTAGCTGCTGAGCAAGCGCCGGTTAAAAATGATGTCTGGACGCCGGACAAGCAAGGCTGGGCTGGAAGAGAAACCGGTTCGGTTACCACAGCAGTTACCGTAGCAGTTACCGTAGCTGCTGAGCAAGCGCCGGTTAAAAACGATGTCTGGACACCGGACAAGCAAGGCCGGGCTTGAAGAGACGAACCGGTTCGTTTACCATAGCAGTTACCATAGCAGTTACCGTAGCAGTTACCATAGCAGTTATCATAGCAGTTACCGTAGCAGTAGGCTTCCTTCAAACTCTCTGCTGCTTTCTCAGACTGAGAGTTTCTAAGAAAGAAGAAAGAATAGAGAGTCCTTTGCATGTCCTCCTCCAGATCAACGGCCTGCTGAGTAGTTTTGGTACCAGTGCCCTTCCTTCACGATCTTTCCTTTCGCTGAGGATCTTAAACATCAGAAAAAAGAAAGAAGAAAGAAGAACAAAGAAGAAAGAAGAAAACAAGAAAAAAGAAAGAAGAAAGAAGACAATGTCATCTTCTTCTCTCCTTCTTTCAAATCAGTTGGCTGCTGAGTAAGCAGCAGGGAGCGATGCTTGAACAATTCGTCTGTCCGCGGAGACAAAGACCGCTACATAAGAATAGAAGCTGGTGCAGGCTCTCGTAGGGAACCGCTGCCTTTTCGTTTGCCACGTCGTGCCCCACACGCCTTTCTTGACAAGCTTGCCTTTCTGAGCGACAACTTTGCCGCTCAGGGGAACGGTCACTCTCACTCCGCCGATGGACACCAGGCGCGAGCCTCCCGGCCTACCCTGCAAGAAATAAACACCACCGCTTGGGGTACTAAGGGATCCAAACGAGGAAGGGAGGAAGAATGCCTCCACTCGAGCAACGGAGAGGCGGTTCGGACCGGTCGTTGAGCACGGTCGCAGGACAAACTTGAATGCAAATCCGGTCCACGCCTCCAGTTGGCACCTCGTGGCGTTGAAACGTGGGACAGCTCCGCATGATAGTGTTGTGTGCCGAGTGCACTTGTCGCAGTATCGCGTAGGCGAGATGTCGTATTGGCTGCGGAATGACACTTGAGCTTGCTTTTCCAGCCAGTCCACGAAGGCAGCGATGCGCGCGTAGCCTCCTGGAAATCCGGCCAGCGCGCAATCCCTGCCGAAGCTGGTGACGCCAACAAGAATAGGACAACCGCCTGACGCGGAGGAGGTCGTCGCAGGCCCGCCGCTGTCGCCGGTGCACGTGTCCACGCTGCCGTTTTGACAGCCAGCGCAGAGGATCACCTTGGGGTTGAAGTGCACATACCCATCGCACCCAGTGGGGAGGTAATCCACCGTCGCGGCCCGGAGAACTTCGCTCTCTTGCGCAAGGAGCGTATCGTTGACGCCAAATCCGCTGATGCCGATATCAGAGAACTGCTTCAGTTTTCTGTCGTCGAAGGCGATCTTGATTGGAGTGATGCTTGCAGTGATCGGCATACGCGTCGCGAGCTTCAGCAGAGCGACGTCATTCACCAGCACGCCATTACTCTCTACGATATAGTCTGGATGAGTCCATATCTGAGAGACTAGAACTCTACGTCCCCCTGTCAGGAGGGAGGAACTTCCTAGCACCACTACAAACTCAGATGCAGCGATTCTTGCTTCGGAGGTGTTCCGTCCCTCGCTGAACACACAGTGAGCTGGCATATCGTCCACGACGAGGGTAAAAAAAAAAAACAGCACCAAAACAATAGTGCAAACATGGCGTTAATAATGGTTAATTAATTTATTTTTTTTAATTTATTTTTTGAACTATTTGGTAATCATTTTGTCCTTTTAAGACAGTGACTCAAATATCACACCCAGCAAAATCATTGTCCACCCACCGATACTTTCGGCCAACCCCTTTTTTTTTTTTTTTTTTTGAAGTAATCGTCGCCGTGGTCCCCTACATAGCCATGGTCCTACTTTTTTTTTTTTCTTTTGCTTCTTCTTCGTTTTTCCAATGCAAACTTTTATTACAACGGGTAAAAAAATCGAGGGCAACTTTTTTCAAACCCTGGAAAACCCCTTCCAGTAGTGGTGGGTGGAAACACAATGCTTTTTTTCTGGCAGTGAAACTTGCAATCCCAAGAGTAGGAATACCCTTCCAGACACAGGAGAAATAAAAATAAAAATAAAAAATAAAAAATCCAGCAGATCCAAATAATAAAGGACCAAAAAGAGAGAGTAGTAGCAGGCAAATGTGGAAAAAAAGGCTACAAATTCAATATAAAAGCACCTGGCTAAGCTGGCTTTACCCCCATCAAGGTGCATAGTGAAAGGGACAAGGTGATGTGCATCGCCGGTCTATTGCGGTCAGATACATCCAGGAGCAGCCGTAATTCCCCGTCAGATACGGCAAAGAAACCCCTGCTGAGAAAATGCTATAAACTACTCTTTTTAGAGCCACACAACACCCTCCCCGCCGCCGCGCCCTTGAGATAAAATTGTCAAAGTGATCGACCCCCAGGTAATTCAGAAATTAAGGCCTGGTATAGATAGCCTACCCACGGAAAGAGGAAGAGG